GCGTGAATATTTCTCACATATTTCCGGATATGATCCGTAATTTGTCATCAGTGTCGCGATTAAAATATTAATTACCTCCATTAAATACAGTCCAGTAGAAAATAAATGGTTTCAATTTCGATGCGCACTTCCTCAAGGAGTTTAATTAAACTGAGTATGGTGGGGATTTTCTCGTGTGAAACAGGTTCTCGCTTCGTCTCGTTTCTCGTCCACGATTACGGCGCGGCGTATCATTCGGCCATAATGATTGCCGGTTAGGGGAGAGAGACAACCGAGGGGGTTGTCAACGTTGGTTCTGGTTGCATCGAGGCGACAATGCAACGCGCGCACATTGACGGTATCATCTTTATGGCGTTGTGTGCCTCCGCATCTAATAATAAACGGGTCGGCGGCCATTGTCGGAATATAGGTCGAGCCTTGTGGCATTTACCGAGGCGTTTACGAAACGTCAGTTTCGTACGTGTGTGTGAATGCAAGCGTGCATTTACCTTACCGCGAGTTTCCAAGTCCCTTGGCTGCTTACAAGTCTCACGGCAAATGTCGCCGAAATGAATGAATGAACCGCGAAGCGCGACACAGTTATCAACTTGTGCCCGAACAAGCAAGTTTGGTCTCCGTCTCAACGCAGACGAATAAATCATGATGTAAGAACACTAAGTATAACATTCCCGTGGATGCGCAGTAGTTCAAAGAGTGACGATATTTATGACCAATCAGAAATTTACCTCAAACTTTATAAACCAATATACAAAGCCGCTATTAAAAATTTGTCATCGATTAGAAATTTTCTTCAAATTATATTCAACTGTTATACACAGTAGGTATTATGGGGCATTCTTATATCATGAGGATTGGCATTATTTTACCCACCCCAAAAAATCCAGGGAGTTTTTTTGGGTTTTACTCACTTAAAAAAACCCGCAATTTGTGGGTTTTTTTGGGTTTTATTGGAATTGTAGAAAAATAAATTTTTTAAACACAAAAGGGACGTATTTATAAATATTTAATGAATATATGTATACTAAACTATAACTGAAGTGATATAATTTTAACATATACCAATTTTAAGATATATACAGGGTGAGTCACTTAAGATCGGCCACCCGAATAACACCCAGTTTTGGAGATAGGAAAAAATGTTTCAGATGAAAGTGGAATGGTTTCAAGGGGAACGTATTTTGATCATGTTGTATTTCTTCTAGGTGGAGGCGCTAAAAAGATATATAGATCACCTTTATTTTTTAAACAAAATTGTATAATTTTTTTTATACAATATGGTCCCACTAATCATTCTGCATATAAAAGTATTAAGGTAGTGATATAAAAAAACCAATAGTAATATTTTTCATAATAAATAAATTTATTTATAGATTACCAGCATATTAAGAGCTTAATAGATTATAAGCTTTAATAGATGTTTATTGAGCATTAAAATGCAATTGTGATATTTATTTCGGTAGTATAGCTGCGTCTTTAAGTCCGATAAAATTTCGGCGCGCAGTTCAAATGGCTACAAGTATGATATATATGCATGTACATACATACATATTGTATAATAGGTATAGTATACAAATTCATATTGAATTATTTAAGCATTAAAAGATCCAGCTTCAACTGTTATGGATATTTTTTATTTCCTATTTGTTGAGTTTTCATTATGTAGTTTTTTTTATATTTGAAAAATTCATTACCATAATATTTTCATAAAATTCATTCATAATTAATTTTATTTGAATATGTAATTAAATAAATTAATAATATAAATTAGAAGGGCTACGAGTCAAGCAATAACATTTTAATGTTGGAACAATACTTACATAAGTTTCGACAGCGATCGGGTCATTTTCAATGTGTTAAAAATAAATATAAATTTTGAAAGAGTGACATTTTAAAAATAAAGATGTTGAAGAGAATTAAAAATTTACTGTCTATTATATATATATATATATAAGATCCATTGTATTAATTTCCTGTGTCTTGGTCGATAATTCAGATCGCTAAAAGTGGTTTCAAAATTTATATTTATTTTCAACACATTGAAAATGACCCGATCGGTGTCGAAACATATGTATGTATTGTTCCAACATTAAAATGTTATTGCTTGGCTCGTAGTCCTTCTAATTTATATTATTAATTTATTTTTATTGAGCCATATTATTATTTATATAATGTAATTAAATAATGATAAATACAACGTAACTAAATATTACGTGAAAAAAATATCAAATAATCAATTTTACCAAAAAAACCCCAAAAAAACCCCAAAAAAACCCGAAAAACCCCAATAAAACCCCCATAAAACCCAGTGTGTAGGGGGGGTTGAGTTTTTTTTAAAAAGCCCGGGTTTTTTCCAACCCTATATCATAGAATAGTTATAGACATAATAGGTAATGGACTGGTATATTTCCTGTTTTTAGCATCTGTGCTCGGTTAGAAATAATTTAACATATCAGCATCTCTCTTCAACTTGATACTTTAGAAAGAAAGAGGTAAATACATAGATAAAGTGTTTATTACTGTTCTAGGACAAGCATTCTAAGAACATACAGAAAAAGTAAATACTAATGTTCAAAAGTGAAAAATGCAAAATAAGAAAATTAACAAACAATTGGCGCAGAAATTTGGAGAGACGCAAAATAAGGAAATTAGTAAACACAAGATAAAAAAATTTACAGATAAGTAGCATAGAAATTTGAAGAAAGTATTATACGGAAATGAATAAATAAAATGAAAAAATTAAATTAAATTAAATTAAATTAAAAATAAAATTAAATAAAATTAAAGATAATATAATATAGTAGAATATAATAGACAAAGAGCAGAAAGAGGGAGAGAGAGAGAGAGAAAGTGAGAGAGAGAGAGTGATGTGCTTCGAGCTACCTCACTCTTTCTAGTCCGATAATAACTTCATAAGAATGCGCAGTCTATTCTTATTACGTCTATGGAATAAATCAAGACAGGAAGTATGAACCTTGAACCCAGGTAACGGTATTGTAAAAGCGAGCGATGATTTTCTTTTTTTAAAAAAATATTCCAGACATCGTCGCAACTCCTTTCTCAATGTTGCGAACATTCGCTGAAATTCGGTCTCACGTTTCAGGCGGACAAATCAGAAAAGCTGTTTATCTCCATTAATTTCAAGCGGATTTTACTTTTAATAGAATTTTAATTTGAGTCTTGGCTACGGAAAGATCGTAAGCAGTTGTCCAATTAAGAAAATAGAAGGAAATATCGGGCTGCCCGATTGCCTCTCTCGGCGGCCGGATAAACGCGAAATTTATCGCGCCAGTTTCCGGGCACGAGTTAGATTTGCGGTCCTTCGTCCCTGCGTCCGCGGGTCGACATGCCGAGCGATCTTTCGTTACATCCACGTATGTACGTATATATATATATATATATATGTAGTACGTATATCGGTCGACGTGACAGTCGGATTTGTGGCTTTCGGCGAAAACCGTTTTCGCATTTTCTCGCGCAACATATTTTCCCACGTTGCTAGAGAGAAGAAGAGACAAAAATGGGAGAGAGAGAGAGAGAGAGGGGGGGATCAGTGATAGCGATGGTCAAAAATGGTCATGTGGCAATTTCATCGCGCGTAACACAATTATACACTATATATATAACGGTCCCGGACATGTAATCGAATCGATTCGCGAGAATGTATTTATAATTTATCAGAACGAGAGAAAAAAGGGAGAGAGAGGCAAAAAAAGGGTGCGTTTTCTTGCAGAACGTACATCTGTTAACGGAAACGAGTGTTAGCAAGGATAACCGAATTGTCCAAATTTTATTAGAATTTAGATATATGGCAAATGAGAGTAACAACGTGATTATTGGAGAGCGCAAAATTTTTTTTATATATTATATATATAAAAGCTATATTGAAAAAAATCTTCGGACGTTTCGGCCTCAATTAGGGTTATCTTCAGCTAGATTTTTATCGAAGACGCAAACCTCACGCTCAATTGTGATCAACCCTCATCTGTGCAGTACTCACAGTTTTTACTCACAGAATTTACGGTGTACCTAGTAAAATTTCGCAATTACATTAACTTGACGTCTTAAGATTAAATAATAAAAACCACGAACGCAAGACATGCCCAGAGATTACACAAAAATTAATAAATTCAGTTTATATAAAGTCAAAGCCATTTGAATGTGGACGTGTTGCAAGGAAATCAAAGAAAGCTGGTTTTCAAGTAAAAAGTAAAAATCCTCGGCGAACTCCTACCAATAAAAATCGTTAAACGCAGAAAGATTGCGAGAGACCCGCGCTGATCGCCGCGATACGGTTATTTATCCCTCAGTGCGATATAAACGCATCCGGCGGAACGCGATGGGCGAGGTCGTCGAACTTTCCGTCGTGTTAGGATTATTAATTATCGCATTAACGGACAGCGCGCTAATCTATCTTGTTAAACGGAAGACCATCTTAAGTTAATATCGTTTTACCTCCGGGCAAAATCGCGCCAAGTTGGGACGGTAAGGAAATAATGATTAAAGTCTCGGAAGGAGGGCTATCCAGCCTCCAGAAGACGCGCCTGGTCTAAAGATTAACACTGAGCGAATCAATTAGACGGTTAGTTGGACCACTTAATTGCGACGAGAATCGGAGGAGGACCGGGAAATCTTTTAAAAGTTTGCTAGAGATATGTCGCGCATGATATATCCAAATTGCTCGCGTAAACGCGAGCCATGTATTTATACGGCGATGAAAGTTCTCTGAATTTATTTTATGAACTACTGCTACATTACCGCTTCTATCGTGACAAACGAGTATTTTGTCGCAGCCACGTAATTTGCGTCCGAATAACTTCCAACGAGAAGTACCTTGCGTATTTTATCGTAGATTTCCTCTATTCCTTTCTGTTTGAAGGCGATTTTATCTCGCGTCGTCATTTTGTGGCGAGAAATTAATTTTATGTTCGTCATTCTTCATTTTATAAGCATTCGCAAAATGTTCAAGGAACAAGAGGGAAAAGAGTTTTCTTTTGTTTCAGATAGCATGCAAGGACGCAAAGTGCATTGTTACAAGGCGGCTACAAGGCGATGAGAAGCCTGAATGGAGTCAGAGGAAGCCTCAGAGCCCCCTGGGGCTCCCACCAATGTTCCGTTGACAGAGCAACGCAGCCGGGTCAATCTTGTCGCTGCACTTAAGCCGATCTGAACCGCCACCCATCTCATCATTTACACCAGATCTGCATTTAGTCGCGGTACTCCGGAGAGAGCGAGATAGAAGAGAGACAGCTTATCCGATCAGATATCCGATCAGATACGTCCAGACGAGCTGAACATCCGGATTGAAACCGATATAGTGAAACCCATGCCAAAGATCTACTTACGCCAATCGATTTACACTAGGGAACCCCGATAAACTCAATCGCGAGAAACGGTTTCATCGCGCCGAGGTAATAGGAGAAGAGAGATATCGGGACGTCGAGATGGCGGCGCCGGTGATCGAGAAGAAGCGTTTCTTCTGCCGAGAATGGGCTTTCACGAAGCTGTCGCACTGCCTGGAGCAGAGACCGCAATCGAAGACGTGCGGTGCTCTGATCGTGGGCGGACCGGGAAGCGGGAAGACGGCTCTCTGCGCCGAGTTGGCATGGCCGTCAAGCGGCGCTTCCGCGAGGCATCAGCGGTCCCTGAATCGTCGTCTGCTGGCCCGACACTTCTGTCAGGCTAGAAGCGAGGCTTCTCTGTCGCCCGCTCAATTTGTGCGGTCTCTGGTGGCCCAGCTGCTTCAGGCGAGCTCGGACGGCTCTCATCATCGAGCGTCGTCCACACCCATCTCGCCGGCGACATCCGCGAATGCAGCCGCGACCACGGTCAACACTACGATGCTCACGGCGACAACGACGGCGACGACGACGACGACAATGGTGGCGGCGATGCCTACGACGACGACACCGACGACGACGACGACGATCGTCGCAACTGCACCGCCTCTCACGTCCAGGGAGGCCATCGCGGAGGCCTACGCCGAGAAGCTGCGAACCGATCCGGATATACAGGCCGCGTTGCAACCGGACGTCCTGGACCGAGATCCTGATGACGCTTTGAAAAAGGCTCTGCTCTTCCCGCTGTTGGAAGTCGAACCGCCAAAGAACTGTCTCTTCTTGCTAGTGGACTCCATTGACGAGGGCCAGACGTTGAATCCACCGCAAACTGGCACAAGGGACTCTCGGAGAGAAAATGATAATGTCAGTCGTACAATAGCTGAATTGCTGGCTAATCATCACCATCTATTCCCACAATGGCTTTTGTTAGTTTGCACCGCTCGACGACAGAGTAAGACTATATCGCGTATGTTCACTGGCTTTCGCAAGATCTCACTGGACGACCTAAGAAAGTCCCAGGTCGTTAGGGATGTTCAGCAATATATTCTCGCGCGGCTGGATCAGGAAGACGCGCTCAGGTAACAACAGGATTAATTGTTGAGCATTTAGGACACTTAATTCTCATTAACTTGTATTTATATTCTTTATCTGTTCAAACGAATTTTTTTATTGACTCTTCGCCGGCAATCGGGATCTTTAAAGGTATCGATATTTGAATTTTTGAAAGTATTGATTGTGAATTTTGCTAGGTAAATTTAAATCTGTTGAAAATAAATAAAATACAATCCGACTTTTATGATAGTAAAACTCATTATTAAAAGTATGACAAGTATATCAGAATTTTCTCAGATTTGTATATAGTCCGGAACAATAAAAAATTGATTCTGTTTTTTGAAGATCCCTATTGCTGATGGAAGAATTAAAATTGATATCAGATGGTTAAAACAATCCAATTGATACATTCGCATTAACTTTATTGACAGTCATTTTTGAGAAAACAGTTGAGAAAGGATAAAAAATTTAATCCTTTTTAATTCTCTGAAAGAAATTACATTCTAATAAATAAATAAATATGTTAAACTTACATACTTAAATAGCACACAAAAGTTTATTAACAACAATGATATTTAAACTTACATTTTACTCATACTTGTCAAGCACTCGTGAGTAATCGTTTCGCTAATACTTCCATAAACTACTTTCACAGGCAGCACATCTCGCGTGACACCGCCGAGATGCTGAACCAGCTGCACATAAAGAGCAACGGCTGCTTTCTGTACCTGGAGAAAGTTCTCGATGGTGTGGCGGAGAACTTTATTGTTCTGTCAGGAAGCAATTCAGCAAGGTGCAGCCTCTACTCAACGTCATACTTGCCGCCAAATTGCCCATCACTCAAGAGATTCTGTACGAGAGCGTGAAGACGGCCTGCGTCGGCATCACCGTGGAGGACTTCAATCGCCGGCTCCATTTGCTGCGACGGGTGATATCGGTCTCGCGTGCCGGCGCATTGATGCTTTTTCATCACAGCTTCGCCGAATGGCTGCTGGACGTGAAGCACTGCACCCAGAAGTATCTTTGTTCGGCCACTGAGGGCCATGCCATGCTGGCGGCCTACTACACTCTACGCGGCTCCGAGCTCAATCCCGACGAGATCTGCGTACTGGCGCAACACCTGCAACGTGTTATAACGAGCATTCCGGTTAACACCACGTTGGATGTCTACACTCTTCAAGTACTCTGGATGATTGGTAGTAACGCGCCCATCGAAGGCTGTTATCTGGATAGCTCCGAGTGCATTCTTTGGCCCAGGCAGGACGTTAAACTTCTGAAATTGCTAATCGACACTGGTGCTAAGCCCTCTGAAAAAACGATTGACGATGACGCTAGCAAAGATGCTATTTCTTCTAGTCAGGTAGTGTTATTTTTATTAAAATAAGAATCTAATTGATTTAAGACAGTTGAAGTTCATTTTGAATACGAATCTATTTCTAAAGCCCCATTGCGGGATGCTGTAATGAATATAATAGTAATAGGTATCTAATCTCTAGTTATGTTGGGAACATGAAAACAGGAAATTGTGATAAAATATAATATCTAATCTAGTTTTTTGGGGTCAGTATATTTTTATGATAAGAGAGAACAATGCGACTCATAGAAAATTTCTATGAGAAAATTTTCAAGCATTATTAAGTCCCATATGTCGTCAATATAGTATGACTCATAATACATTCGCTACACCATAATTTATTGATTGTCATGGAAAATATTTGTAATAGAAATTTTGTAATTAAAAATTGTAGCGACGGAAAATTTAATCTCGCGTTTCCTACACAAAGGTTTCGCAAGATGTGAGCCCCATTGATGAATCTCCGAGTGAACCGCTAACAGAGCTTCTCGGTGAAAGCGGAGATATCAATCAAACAGACTCTTATGGACGAACGGTGTTACACACTTTAGCCGCCGATGGCAATGCATCTCTTCTAGAAGTGGCGCTTGCAGCCTGTCCTCAGGTATACAAGTTGTAATCTCAAATTAAAATTTTTAATTAATTAAGAGAGCTATCATCTTATATATTACAAGCTAAATAACCAAGCGTATCAAAATTATTAATTACAAATTTAATTTCCAATTTTATGCATTTTTTTAAAATTTTGTTTCTAAGTTTTGTACATTTTTTTTGCAAGAATAGTTTTTTAAGATAAATGTTATCCATTTTAAAAAGTAAAACATCACATCTGTTTCCATTTTTTTTCCATGTAATACTATAGAAATAACTTGATGAATTTTTGAATTTAAGGCAAAATTGGAAGCGGTCGACCGTAATGGACAAACACCACTGAACTTGGCCGCCAGGCATGGTTACTCGGATGTGGTGCGTGTTCTTTTAGCTGCCGGTGCGAGGGCGGATCACGCGGACTGTGACGGCTGGACCGCCCTCAGGGCCGCTGCCTGGGGAGGGCATACTCAGGTATAATTAGATTAAGTGGCGAATTTCTAAGAACATATGCAAGTCTCATTAACTCCGTATTATATACATGTAAGAGATAGTAAGACCATTAAATTGCAGATCTCACGAGTCGTAAATGAAACAGGTGTTTCTCACGAGTTCTGTTTCAGGTGGTCGAGCAACTTCTGAAGCACGGGGCTATGGTAGATTGCGCGGATTGGGATCAACGAACTGCGTTAAGAGCCGCCGCATGGGGCGGTCACGAGGATATCGTTAAGGCTCTTTTAAAACACGGCGCGGATGTTAACAGAACAGACGACGAAGGTAGAACTGCTTTAATCGCTGCGGCATATATGGGTCATAACGAGATCGTGGAACATCTTTTGGATTTCGGTGCTGAAATCGATCACGCGGATAGCGACGGCAGAACTGCGCTCAGCGTTGCCGCGCTATGTGTTCCTGCCAATCATGGATACGTAAAGGTTCGACCGACACATGAATAACACACACATATGCATAACTATATAAAGTTCCTATTAAACTATAATATAATTCGGTGTATTATCTTTAGCATTCGAGAATTTTTGAATTCATTGATAATTTAGTACAATTCTGTCCTATAAATATGGCGAAAATGATTTTGATTAAAATGGTTCATATACAATATAAATAAGATTTAATATTAGGTATATTACATATATTAAACAGATTATATTAAATAATAATATATATTGTATGTTAATTTTGTCTGTCGCAGGTAGTCACGATACTTTTAGAGCGAGGTGCCACCGTGGATCACGAAGACAAAGACGGCATGACTCCGCTACTTGTCGCCGCGTTCGAGGGTCATCGCGACGTTTGCGATTTGCTTCTGGAATTCGACGCGGATATGGATCATTGCGACGTCACTGGGAGAACGCCTTTGTGGGCGGCCGCGAGTATGGGACACGGATCGGTCGTCAAGCTCTTACTGTATTGGGGCTGCTGCGTCGACACTATAGACAACGAAGGCAGGACCGTTCTCAGCGTGGCCGCTGCCCAGGGCGGCACGGACGTCGTGAAGCAATTGCTCGCCAGAGGTACATTGTAGAATTAGTTTAACTGGCGCAAGCATATTGTGCCTGATCTCTGCCTCTCCATCATAAGTGGTATCCATCATAAAGAGATGTAATTTCTACGTAAGGCCTAGACGAGCAACATAGAGACAATTCTGGCTGGACCCCACTACACTATGCGGCGTTCGAGGGTCACGTTGATGTTTGTGAGGCGTTACTGGAGGCTGGCGCGAAGATTGACGAGACAGACAATGATGGAAAGAGCGCTATTATGCTCGCAGCGCAGGAAGGGCACACGTCATTGGTAGAGCGATTACTGAAACAACACAACGCGCCTATAGATCAGCATGCCCACGATGGTAAAACCGCTTTAAGGTACTGTGCTGATGTAATAATTTATGATTTTATATATTCTGTTATACAATTGATTATTTTAAAACTAATTTTTAATTAATCGAGAAAAAGCTACGATTTTACAGACTGTAATTCAAATAGTTGTAAACACTAGTTATAATTTGTGCATCTTTTGGGAAAGATTGACTTTTTTTTAAGATAGATTTAGGAGTTTATCTATTTTCTAATAATTAATGAATTAAATCTCTTTAATCTAAACAAATAAGATTGCAAATAAAATTATAGACATTTTTTAATGAATTTTCTCTTACATTCATAGACTCGCGGCTTTGGAAGGACATTATGATACAGTGAAGATATTGTTATCTCATAATGCTGACGTTAATGCGAAAGATGCCGATGGAAGAAGCACTCTCTATATACTCGCGTTAGAAAATAGATTAGCTATGGCGAGGTTTCTGCTCGAACACGCGAGCGCGGACGTAGAAAGTAGAGATTCAGAAGTAAGTAATCGTCAATAGCGTTAAAAGAAAACACTCAATAATTTATAGTATTTACTATTTTAATATCTGAAATGATTCGCGTTTTACATGTAATACGCTTGGAATTGATAGTTATTATATTTGTGTTCTACAGGGTAGAACGTCATTACATGTAAGCGCTTGGCAAGGACACGTGGAGATGGTAGCGTTGTTGCTAACTGAGGGTGCAGCTAGCGTGAACGCTTGTGACAATGAAAATAGAACACCGCTTCATTCGGCTGCTTGGCAAGGTCACGCAGCGATCGTCAGATTGCTCTTGGAACATAGTGCTACTCCTGATCACACCTGTAATCAAGGTGCAACGGCTCTAGGTACATTAATCATTGTCTACAATATTATATGAATAAGCTGTACATCGACTATATAAAACTATTTTTTTTATAACTTAGTTGTAGTTCTCTTATAAAACTGGGATATGTTAGATGATAGGAGAATGCAATTTTTAGGTATAGCTGCTCAGGAAGGACACGAACACTGTGTTCGGGCGCTTTTGAATCATGGAGCTGACCCTAATCACTCCGATCATTGTGGACGTAATGCCATTAAAGTAGCCGCTAAAAGCGGTCACGATACAGTTGTCAGGCTGTTAGAAGAGCATTCTGCGAATCAACGCAGTTTGAGGCCTGGTATCAATGGAGGTTAATTGATAGTCTCATTTTCTATTAATTGATTATCAAACTTATACACATTTATAGCATTTTCAATTGCAGTGGATTTGAATCGATCTGAGATCGATTAATGACATCATATGCTCTACTTTAGTTTCTGATTGAACGAGTTTATGCCACTTCCGGGTTAATCAATTCGGCTCGATTCAAATCCATTGAAAACACTATTAGAAATAAAATACAGAAATATTGCTGCTATCGTTTCTTTTCTGCGAGAGATAAAATTCGAATTATGGAATTTGAAATTATTTTAATAGAATTTTGTTTCTTTTGTTTGTGATATGAAAATAAATTTTTTATCTCTTTTAATATGTTAATCGAAAATTAAAACACAGTAATGTAACGTTGCATAATTTCTAGGTGGTAGCAGTAGTGCTACTTCTGTCACATCTAATTCAACGGCTGAAACTAAACCTTCATCGGCAATTCTAAACCCTTTATCGACGCAATACAGTCCAGCGGAATCACCAGACTCGACGAAACGACGCAGTTGCGTTTCTTTAGGCAACAATTCAAGCAACAGCAAATCAAGCAGTAATTTAACTGGCAGCACTAAGAGCGATCAAGGAAAATTCAATCAGAACTCGATGGTTAATTGTCAGGTAATTAAAGTACGTGACAACATTTCATACCGCTTATTGAATGATAAAATTAGAGCGATTTATTTCATGACTATGTTATGATTAATATTATGTAACTCTTGTAAAATACAAGTTATTTAGTTTTTTAAATGTCTTGTAAATTATTTAATTCTTACAGAACAAAATTTAAATGCCTAATTTTCATAATTTTAGGCACCGTTATCTTTCACTCAACAACTACAGCAGTGCTCAAGGGGAGCAAAGAGTCGACCACTTAGCAAATTATTGTCACCTTTGAAAAGCGAGCCGCAGAGTCCAATATACGCCTCACCTCCGCATTCTCCGTTAAGCGACAGTCTTATTCCTTACTCACCTACAAATACGAGTCCACCTAGTGCTCAAACGGCAGTTAACGTGATACAAAGTCAGCTGGGTGTATCGTTGCTGGCAGCAAATCCAAACATGTCGTACAAAACGCAGATGGGATACAATCATACGTCCGTCATCTACGAGCCTATCAACATCAAAACTGAGATTATTGACAGGAATAATATTAGTAAGCCATTCGAATTAACGAACGAAATGTTAGGCTTGAACATTGGGAAAGATAAGGAAAACGGGCATGATGAGAAACGAAATTCGGCTGACACGCATTTTACACGAGACACTCATATGAGAATAATTTTGGGAAACAGCGGCGCTGGCGTTGGTAGAAGCGTCAAGCACATTTCGGATCACACACCTGGAAGGTAAGCATAGTTAATAAGAAATAAATTATATATACAAGTTGTAAATACTATACTAACACTCTAATTATGTTTATCACAGTATATATAACTAACTAACGTTTTCTTATCGTGCAATGTTTTTGTTCATCCACGAGACACGACATTAGACTACATTTTAGAAATCGCAAATTATTTATAGGCATACATTCACAAGACTCAGCGAGAGAGTATCAGTCAAACGTCATGTACATTTGTCTTATGTTTCACACGTGCACATTATCCACAAAAATCATATATGTACATAATTCCATCTTCTCAATCAAAATTTTATTAAAAAACATACTTATTATCTTAATTTTTTTCAATGCGATTCTTTAGACTTTGCAGAAATCACAATGGTCGTATAAGGAAGACACACCGCTTCATGAGCGATAGGCTTTCCTTCCTTTTTCAACCCTCCCGAGCGAAAAAAGATAGAATATGTAGTCAAGGAGGACATACGACAATGTTAGACATATTTATCATGCTATGTATCAATTGGTTTTAACATTGGTTATTTAAAAATGTAATGTTGATCAAAAGCAAAAACATATCACTATAAAGATATTCTTTTTTTTTTTCTAAAATTTTAATACATTATTATTTTCCTTTTTATCTTACATTTAACGTTTCATGTCAACTCTTCGATAAAACAAAATAATATACATGTTTGTTATTCATAAGCACATTTCGTATAAAGTATCACTATATTTCATTTCAGTGCAAGCAATGTAAAACCAAAGCGTAATGGTTTGGTGTCCAACCCAGCCATGAGATTAGTAGCGGGCGTTAGAAATGGAATTGAGAATGCTACAAATAGAAATAAGCCTATTACAACACGTGTAAATGGATTCCAATGGAAGGCGGAAGCGCGTAAGGAAACTCCCTTGTAGGGACAGGTATATACTTGCAATAATCTCTGTAAATTTACAAGCAACAGCAAATGACTCAGTGTCGTTTAAACATTAAATAGTATTTTACGAAATATAATTTACACTTGAACTTAGTTTGTCAATTTACTAGCCTAATTATAAAATATTTTAACATTTAAAAAATTTTATTATTTTTAAATTGAACGAAACATTACATTTTTTAATTAATTATCTGTTATCAAATCTCATACAATGGCGTAATAATAATTAGTCTGTATTAGTGAATGTATACTTACATAAATACGATTACATGAAATATAATGAAATTTATTTATTTTCGTTGCCACAGGCTGTACCTCATGGATTGTCTCGGCGAAGAGCCACGAGCCAATACCGTGGATGGCGATCTGCCGCGAATAAAAAGCGAAAGTCAATAAACAAATTTTTCTCTGTTTATTTGAGCAAAATCAAATTACCTCAAATAAAAAGGAAGAGGAAGGAGAGTAAATATTCTGATATGACGTGAACAACGGAGATCGCGTAGCACACAAAACCAAATATTAATTTGCATAGGGAAAGTATATGTAGACATAGATATGTAAACAAACAAAACATGACTTTGTATAAATATAACGTTAATGGAATTATTTACTGATCTCACTAATATATTACTTGCATACACATATACACGCGTTTGTATTGGGCGTGTGTATGTGTATGTCTGTACGTGACGCTTATACAGAATATCGCAAACACTGCCCAGTCTCCGAATCATCGATTTAGAAAAGAACTTCGGTTTGCAACAGTTAGGAGTAAAAACAGCAGAAGTTACTAAAGTTTGTTATCGAGAGAAACTGATCAGCTTTTGAGGTATTCTGTATATATACTTAAAAAATTATTATTAAAATTTTGAAGAGGAGAGAGAGAGAGAGAGAGAGAGAGAGAGACAGAGAGAGAGAGAGAACCTTTAGTCGTGATGTTAATGCCAGATTAAACGATAATGTTTAATGGTAAAGTTTAACAATGAAAATTTCTTCAGAAGACTGGATGCAAACACAGAATGCATATGTGATCTTTTAATGGATAACTTTAAACCGAAAGAATAATATTGTAAAGATATGTATAAATTATATTAGAAGAAAAAGTTGAAGAAGAAACGATATTACGGACTCATTACAAATACGTAAAGTTATGGCCTGAAAATGAGGAACATGTGTAAATACCCCCTCGTAATGTCTCATGCAACATATTTATTATACTGTAATAGGTGCGAAATAAATAAACCTAGAAAAAAATATTACACATAATTACCAGCGTAATAATTTGTTGCTTTGTATTATTGCAATTGCATTTCTACATAATATCCTATCCAACGATAAATTACTCAAGGTGAATATGATGATACACCAAGATGATTTATGATAACACAGGTCAACAAGGTTTTGTTGTTGGGAAGCTGTGGATCATTTCCGACGTAATTTTCTGCGTAGAATCCGAATCTGAAATCAGAATTGGCCTATCACGTCAGGATTTTGAGATATTTGAGGATATATACTCGAAAAATGCGTTTTTTTGCTATTTTCGAAGTTATGATCATTAGAGTTTTCCACGTCTAGTGAAGAAAGAAAAACCGATATTTGTCAATAAACAAACAACTTATTATTTTTTTTATACACACCTGCAAAATATCCTTTTTTATGCATTCAGGTGCTTCGTTTATCGAGCGAATTTCGAGCATCCTAAAACTTTCAGCGAGAAAGTTGTTCATTCGGATATGAACAAATGTTCTGGAAAGTTTCATTTTCATTGCATTAATAAGTTTAAAACTAATGATTTGTTTAAAGTTGGTAGACGCCTTGCACTCAGAGCCGCAGCGCACAAGACGCGCTGTCCGTTATTCAAGGTCCTAATATATAAACAGTCACAATTGTGACTGTTTGCTGTCTTAACAATGGCCCCGCGTAAGTGTTTAAATGATCCTAACAGTTTTTGTTATATTTGTGGTCGTTTCACGTTTGTTAAGAACAGGATAAAGCTTGAAGATAATGTGAAATCATTTTACCGCAATTACTTCAACATTTCGATATCCAATCAAGATAAGTCTTGGGCTCCACACGTAGCTTGTAAATCATGTGTTGAGTCATTAAGGCGTTGGAACAATGCCAAAAGTAAAATGCCCGTAACTTGGCGAAAAAAAATCGTAGGTAGTCGATCAATATCTCATTTTGAAGGGTAAGAATATTACTAAATGATGCAAATAGCACAAAAGACCCAAAAAATTGGTTGCGTCCTGTACATAACCTCTAAAGTAGCATAAAAACGCATTTTTCGAGTATATATCCCCTAATATCTCAAAATCCTGACGTGATGGGCCAATTCTGGTTTCGGATTCGGATTCTACGCAGAAAATTACTTCGGAAATGACCCACAGCTTCCCGACAACATCCAAGACCCCCTTTTTTGTAGACCTGTGTAATAAGTGCTTTCCATTTTGTGACACAAGTCAACAAATATTGTTCTATTTTTGTTACTCTCTGAATGGCAAGAAAGGTAGAAGGATGCTTGTATCGACTTGTATCACTAAATGGAAAATATCTAATATCATCATAAAAGATAATAAATCTTTCTTATATTTCTTACAAATAAAATGAAATAAAAATTTAACAGTAAATAATAAAGATAGCAGTAATAAAAGCTTTTTAAAGATAGCAGTATAAAAGCTTTTTAAAGATAGCAGTATAAAAGCTTTTTAAAGATAGCAGTATAAAAGCTTTTTAAAGATAGCAGTATAAAAGCTTTTTTAAAGATAGCAGTATAAAAGCTTTTTTAAAGATAGCAGTAAGAAAAGTTTTTTTCATTATTAGTATCATTAATTCCAAAATTAGGACGTTTTTTGTTCAAGCGGCCGCTTCAGAGTTCTTGAAGCGATTTCCTAATTATCCAATTATGCTGTTTAACGTATCTCGCCGTTACTCTAATGTCTTATCTTCCTCCAGTCGTGCAAAAGATTTTCGAGACCCGAGTTGCTATAGAGCTTAGTGCAAAGATAAAAGGGAGCTTTCATCTGTTCATAAATATAGTGTATATACGCTCTTTATAAATAAGCGATTATGCCTTTCTTAGAGCGTATACATGTGTTATTCGTAGATAAAGTATTAAAAATTGAAAAATAATAAAGAATCATTTGTCACTGCTCTGTTCATTACTACTTTCTTCATTACTATTGAACTTTAATAATTTATTCAAATAATAATTGCTTGTTAAGTTGCCTTACAATCGTTGTAAATTGTAAAGCAACCTAACAAGCATTATTAAATTGCATGTATCATATCTTACCATGAGGAAGTTAAATACGAAAGTTATTTGATTAAGCAAAAAGATTGCATTTACAATACTCATTAGAACAATAAAGATTTTATGATTTTAGATATACGAAATTAAATTGGATGTAAATTAATTTGGATAGAATAATAAAAAATATAGTTATGACTTAATCAAAATTTCGAGATCTCTTAAGGCTAAAGGTTCTATTCGAGGCATCCGTCGCATTCTCTTTTTGCACGGCCCTGTAAAAGTAGTGAATAGAAAGAGACAAGTAAATTACAACATTTAGACAGTACCTATTTCGTCGTCAAGTACGTTTGTTCAATGTTTTCTGATAAAAGTACCTCTTGCCTTAGATAACATATCGTGAGAGAACCTCTTAAAATAGTATTTCTCGAACGACCATTCAGTATTTTTCGAATTTTCTCAAACTCAAGTTGTTTTTTTTTAGTGTTCATTATAATGTAAACGAATTTTTTTTTCATTGTGAAAAGAACAAATTTTTATTTATACGAGGTAAGTATTTTATAAATTATCCAACATTCTTGAATTTGAGTCTTGAATTTAATAAAGTTTAAACGTAGAAAGAATATCTAGGATATGATAGGACAAGAATAATGTATGCATATTATTTAACAATAGATGATATTTAATTAAACTAGATCGAACATCTTGTAAACTTTAAACATTTGCTTAATTTTCTTTTGTCACTCATAAATAATCTTTATTTGAACATTAGCCTCTATTGCACAGTTTTAATTTGGATTGTCGTGATATTTTAATTCTAGTTATAAAACATTTTTAACAAAAAATTCTAATTTCTAATAATTTCTCTTAAAAAAGATTTAATTTGCTAAATTATAGATTGCTCCAATTATAAAATACAATTTTTAATTATGTTATAACAGCATATTCTATAAAATCAGCTACAATGTCCAAATTGACATCATTGATACTTTTACTGTCGAAACATAAGTTGATAATCATAACATTGATCGGTGTGATTATTGGAATGTCGTGCGGTTTGAGTCTTAAGAATTATAGCGGAAGAACATGGTCTCAACGAGATATCATGTACATCAAATTTCTTGGAGAACTGTTTCTTAGAGTGGTAAATTGTTTAATATTACCACTTGTTACGTCCAGCATTATAAGTGCCACTTGTAATCTCACCAAATCTGGTAAGTTCTTTAAGATTATCAAAATTCTTGACAAAATCACACAACACACACACACACACACACACACACACACATTTTTTATATTAAAAAGGAATTAAAGAAAAAATTAGATACAAATTAAATATATCAAAACATTTTTCACGTGAAGAACTGTAGAAAAATATTACAAGGAACGAAAATTTCTTTATTTAGAGTTTGTTATAATTACACAGGACCTATTGGATTCATGGCATTGTGCTATTATCTGACGACTACTACGATTGGAATAACTTTATGTGTTATACTTGTTCAGACAATTCGACCGGGCGAATTAATGAGAGACGAAGGAGCTATAAGTACATCCACGAAAACCTTTATGACAGTGGACACAATTCTGGATATGTTTCGGTAATTAAATGAATGCATGTTCATTATTATGAGCTTTACACTGTCATATTTTCAAAACTTTCTTACAATACTAAAACTACTGTAATAGAAGAAAAGGTGATTTGTGGCCTTTCTTAATATCTCCGCTATCAGATAGCGAATTCCAAGGACTATTCTATCTACGGAATCATTTTATATGTTCATGGCTGCGGTCCACTTGACGCTTCGAAGCATTTGTAGCGTCAAGTGG